ACACACACACAGTGAGCGGAGAGGAGACGTTTTTATCTGCAGCAGGATGTCATGAGGTATCGAGGGTTTACCTGAGAGTGCCCCTCTGCACAGCCAGCTCCAGCAGGATGGCCAGGGCGAGGTGCTGGTCCTGCAGAGGAATGTTGCCTTTGGTGCTGGCGCTTCCGTGTACGTCACTGGTCCCCAAAAGAAGGCAAGACATGAGAATCTCAAACATGTGTTACAACATAGAAAATGAGCGACTGATAATAATGAATAACACCAACCTGAGGAACTTGGTGGCCCGCTCGACCACTTCGAGCCAAACCGACGACACGGTTCCCTCGTCGAACAGCGTGGCTTCTGGTAGAGCTCGCAGCGCATCCAGAGACTCCTGGAGAAGCTCGCTGCAGAGGTCCGCATCGTCTCCTAGAAAAACACAAATCTCCTGTTTGATATACACGACACACAGCGGCTACATCACACCACACACAGAACCCAAACACATACAGGTTACAATCTGCCAAGCGTGAGGGCAGAACCAGTGAGACGTGCGTTCACCAAATGTATTGACCCATAATCTAGTGGAACTTTGATTATAAGTGTTCATTTTGAAGAAAATGTAATGTGTGTGTGTGTGTGTGAGAAAGAGCTGCAGCCTTGTGACCTGTTCACCTTCCTAAAACTATGTCTAAGCAGCGACTCATCACCAGACATCCTCACACCACCACTAAAGGCCAGTTTGGTTCTGAAACCTCTGACCATCAAAGCTTTTTAAAACGGCCCCTTGGAGCCCCGACCTCCAGCGCCTTTCTGACCCAACATCTCCAACAGACAAGAAAAACATAAAGCTGAACCTTTTTACCTTCCTGTTTACAATAATTTACAGAATGTATTCAGAAATTGTGTATGGGAACTGACAAAACAAATGTTACGCTTAAAACGCAGAAAAAGTTCGACGCATCAGTGAAACGTGTAAAACGTAAGTCTGGAGCTCAGTCTGCAGGAGAGCAGAGACAACATTTGTACATCACTTCAGTTCCGAAATGTTTCATAAATTTAGAGTCTAAACTTTGCATTCATTTACAGACAAGAACATTCAAGCAGCTGGTATCCAGTCACATGAAACGGCTCTAAAATAAATATCTAGGACTGGAACATATGTCCATTCAGCAGGAGACAGAAAACACTGTTCCATGAATACAGATACACTGAGGATGGCTTAACTGTCTGTGTGTGTGTGCCTGTGTGTGTCTCTGTGCGTGTGTCTCTGCGTGTCTGTGTGTGTGTGTATGTGTGTGTGTGTGTGTCTCTGCATGTCTGTGTGTCTCATGTTACAGGAAGGCTCTAAAGCATGAACATTCAGCGCTACATGAACCAGAATGTTAGGTTCATTATCTTAAAGCCGTAGAAACGTTACCAACGAGTCTGCAAACACTACAAGCTAATACTAAAAACATTAGCATTGAGACATATGTTGTGTTGTTGACTGTGAGCAGCGTGTGACACATGGTGCAACACATTCATGAACAGCTGTCCGGCTACCACCAGCAGCACCGAACAAGACGTCTTCACTGTCACATTCCTACCTGACCTCCAGGCTCGACGCAGGAAAGCAAAGGCGAAGGAGAGCGCTGCTCTGGAGCCGACTCTGGCCAGACCTTCTACACCTTTACTGGCCGGCCGAGGGCTGGAAACACAACGCACACACACACACAGATTTACACAGGATGCATGTGTGTGTGTTTAAGAGGCGTCCGTGAGGGAAACACACTGAGCTGGAGGTTTAACCGACAGAAATATTCACACGTCTGAAAGTTTTGACAAAGAAGTTAGTTTTTAGAGGCTTTAGAAACAGCAGTGAAAGTTCAAAATAGTTTACAGGACATTCAACCTTTGTTTCTTTATAACACATTTAATACTTGACCTAAAGGCAATAAAGTCGTCCATGAACATGAGATATGACTTTACAGATAATTACAATCCCTCCTCTCTATAGTGGAGGTTAGTTTATGGTGTGTAGTCGGTTACACTCGTGTTGTTTGATTCTTCACAGTTAGTTCGGTTTGTACGTCCTCTGGAGCTTCAGAGAATAAAGCAACGAACAGCACGTTGAGGATAAACCAGTTGAATTACCCAGGCTGACCTCACCCGTTGAGAGGTTTAAACATATTTCAGGGTTATTATGAAACTGCTATGGGCCGCCTATGACCTCATTTGATTACGTTAATGTGGCTAAAATCATCACTGAACTAATTGAATAGTCATTGAATAGAAGAGTCTTTGTATTGGATGACCAAATCTGAGTAATAAACCAGATGTGCAGTATCCCTCACTACAATGAACCAGATGTGCAGTA